CTATGAACTAAAATTCCAGAATGAATGAACTAAAATTCCAGAATCGATGAACTAAAAATCCAGAATCAATGAACTAAAAATCCAGAATCAATGAACTAAAAATCCAAAATCTATGAACTAAAATTCCAGAATCTATGAACTAAAATTCCAGAATGAATGAATAACATAATGCCGTTGAGGGGAATCAAAACTGATTTTTTTTAAGTGGGATGCGCATTTTTAATAAAACGACGTCGTTTTTACATCCGTATGCACCATGCATGGTGCATACGGATGCACAGCATAACTATCCGTGTGTGTGGCAGAGTGACTTTGCTTTTAAAATAGTAATTTTCATTTTTATATTTATATGAAATAGCAATTTTTTTTAGTCCCTCAATTGTTGTGGTGAGCATTATTATTGTTCCTCCAATTTTTTACGAGGTAGTGATTTTGATGATTTTTGTTCCTTAATTGATAACAAAGACTTTTATTATAATTTTGTCCTTAATTAAATTAACCAATAGGCTTAGCTTTGATTCACATATTCATTGCCAATAAACACACTAATGGTTTACGTTAAATAGGGACAATACCACCGGCTTATGAAAAATTGCGCTCAGAGTCAATAATGCTTAGAGCATCCTTGTCAATTGGGGATATTAGAGGAAGAATGCAAGAGTGAGTAGGAAAGAGAATAATGTGGGAGGGGAGGAAAACAAAAATCAAACATGTCATTTCTCTATTTGTTCTCTCTCCTCCATATTAATTCTTTTTTCTTGGGCAGAGTAATATCCCAACCTTTGCATATGCTCCCCACCCCTCCTCTCTTTTGGTTCTCTCTCTGGCACCATGGCATTTTGGCCTCAAAAGTAGTAAATTCTCCTCAATTTCTCCTCTGATGTAGATGCTCTTATGTAAATTATTGATGTATAAAGATTGTAATAATATTTTTGTATTTATTAATTTAAATATTGTAATTGTATCGTTTTGATATGATTAATATTTTGTAAATAAATCAAATAAACTGCAAATGAGGTGGATTGCGAATCAAATTTCAAAATAAATTTAAAAAGTTTGAATTCATGTGCATCTATAATCCAGGTGCGTTGAATAACGTCTAAAGATTGGCGCTAAACTTATGCCTAATTTTTAAATTATTTTGCAGCTAATTTAAGGCTCTACATTATTGTTCTTGTTTCGAATTATTTTGCTGCTAAGGCCCATTCTTCTGCAATATAATTGTTTGTTAAGAATTAGTCTTGTTAGCTTTTATTCATTTTTATTTATATTTGATTGTTTTTACTTTTTGCCTAGTCTTAGGAAAATAGGTGTAACTATTCCTCCTTTTTGTGGCTTTGTATGCTATTTAAAGCTCTGTGTAAACTTTGAATAAACTCACAACTTCAGATTCTCACATGGTATCACAGCCTTAATCTCTAACGAGAATTTTTTCCCCCCTCCCTTTTTCTTTTCCGGTCATGGCAGCTACCAACCCCCCAGCCATTGTTCATATTCATGCCCCAACCCATCTACCCATCAAACTAACGTCTTCGACCTTCCCTATCGGGAAGAAACAGGTTGAATCCACTCTCATCGGCCTGGACCTTCTGGGCTATATCACAGGAATCACTAAAGCTCCGGGTCAGTATTCTGACGAGGCTCGCACCGCACTCAATCCCGCTTACACAACGTGGTTCAAGCAAGATCAAATAATCCTTAGTGCCATCCTCGGTAGTCTGTCAAACGTCCTGCAACCGATCATTTCCTCCGCTACCTCTGCCCATGATGCATGGATTTGTTTGTCCGTTAGTTGTGCCGCCGCATCGCGGAGTCGAATTGTTTCGCTTAAAGCGAAACCTGACAAGAATCCTAGAGCAAACCGGACGATTGATGCCTATATGAGGGATATGACCTCAATTTCCGATGATTTAGCTCTAGCCCAAAGCCCCGTTTCGGAGGAGGATCTCGTTGTCCACATATTCACCCATCTCGGTGATGAATACAACTCTATAGTGGCGGCCCTTCGTGTCTGAACCGATGTAATTTCGTTTGGGAACTACATGACATTCTCACCGACTACGAACGTCTGCTGAAGGATAATGAGGCTACCTCCCATGTCCATATGCCCACCCCCAATGTAACCTAGAGGCGATACACTGATACTCAGTCTCAAGGGCCTGCCAGGCTTGGGAGAGGTGGCTCGGGCTTCTCCAACGGGCGTCAATCACGGAATTCCAGTAACCGGCAAGCCAGGTACTGTGATTACTGTGATTATCCCGCCCATGACACCAAGTACTGCCAGAAGTTAGCCAAGTTCCTGATGGAGAATGGTGTACCTGTGCTCGAGCTGCAAAACACTTCGCGCCCACCACCTTCAATTCACGCTACCTCTACTGCCCACACGCCTACTCAGTCGTGGCTCATGGACTCAGGGGTTTCCCACCACACTGTGAATGACGCCTTGTCCCTTCACACGCTGAATGACTACACAGGACCTGATGAAGTCATGTTTGGGTGATGGTAAGTCCCTTCGCATATCTCACACTGGGTCAGTTACGTTACCATCTAAGAGTCGGTCCCTTCATTTATCCGACATGTTATGTGTCCCAAGTCTACAAAAAAACCCTTGTTTTAGTTTCTAAATTTTGTCGTACTAACTTGGTCTCGGTTGAATTCTTTGACACGTACTTCGTTGTTAAGGATCAGCCATTGGGAATTCCTCTCATGCAGGGTCCAGTCGTGAGTGATGTTTACGCCCTTCCTGTCTGGCGGCCTCAGCTCAATGTCACCACCAAGTCGTCATTATCAAATTGGCACCACCAATTCGGGCATCCCAGTGTTCCAGTTTTTGCGTCCCTTCTTAAAAATAATTGTGTTACATTTTTGCCTAATGAACTTGCAGCATTTTATTGTAATTCCTGTCATGTAAATAAAAGCCACAAACTACTGTTCTCTTTCAATTCAATGTCAAGTAGTTGACCGTTGCAACTAATCTACACGGTTGTGTGGGATTCTACAACAGTCTCGGTCGACGGGTTTAAATATTATGTTCATTTCGTTGATCATTTCACTAAGTATGTCTAGCTATTCCCGTTAAAACTTAAGTCAGAGGTGTCTCGTGTCTTTACTCAATTTAAAAGGTTGGAGGAAAATTACTTTGGCTACAACATTGTGTCTATGTTTTCTGACAACGGTGGCGAGTATTTAAAGCTAATTCCAATCTTTAATTCTCTGGGTATTTCACACTTCACCTCACCCCCACATACACCAGAACATAATGGTCCGGCGGAGCGCCGACATAGGCATATTGTTGAGACGGGAATGGCGCTTCTTCATTATGCATCCGTACCCGTCTCATATTGGTTCTATGCTTTTCAAGTCGCGGTCTACTTAATAAATCGTATGTCCATTTTTCTTCTCAATCATATCTCGCCTTACGAGAAACTCTTTAATAAACAACCGAACTACAAAAAAAAAAAAAAAAATCAGACCATTTGGGTGCTTATGTTACCCCTGGCTAAAGCTGTATTTCCCTGTCCAAGTTGAGTCCAAAGTCTACGCCTTGTGTCTTCATGGGATACTCGTTGAGTCAGTCAGCCTACAAATGCTTAGAAGTGTCAAGTGGGTGGGTCTATGTTTCTCGACACGTTCGGTTTGTACCTAATGTTTTTCCGTTCACCACCCTAGCTCAACAATCCAAGTCTACTAACGAGGTGTCATCACTGGCCGTGCCAATTGGAGTGCCTTGGTATCATTCTACCTTTTGCACTACAGATACTCCTACGTTGCTGCCTGGTGATACTGTAGGTCCACCACCCCTTGAGTCGGCAGTTGGAGTGGGTCCGACTTCTGCTCCGGTGCTCTCTCGATCACCATCGCCAGTGCAGATTCCAGAAGCTCCCGCGTGCACACCGGTGGAGGTCGACCAGATCAGGGAATGTGCGAAGCAGCAACTGACATTGCAGCTGGTTGTTCATGGCTCCCCGACGACTGCAGAATCTGGTCCTGTACTCTCGTCGAATGGTTTGGCTGGTTTGTCGTCGTCTGGTATTTTTCCAAAACACTCTACCGCTGGTCAGGATTCGGCTACGACAGAACCGGGGGCTGCGGCAACCTCGGTGCAGTTGGCCGGCTCCTCGCAGGGTGGTTCCACGTGTGCCGCTGCTTCGTAGGGTGATATGTCGATAACGGTGACAGTTCATGCTGCTGCTCTTCCTCTGCGCAGGTCTCAGCGTTTACGACGGCCTAATCTAAAGTATTTTGGCAACAAGTTTGTCAATTCCACGACGTTGCATCCTGTCGCTCAGACTATTTGAACCGCGCACCATGGACCAAGCACTGAAGAGCGATTTTATGGCGAGCGGCTATGTCGGACGAGTTTTGCGCACTGGCAAGAAACGCCACGTGGGAGCTAGCTAGTGCCCTGGGTAATTGTAACGTGGTTGGCTGTAAGTGGGTGTTCAGGGTGAAGCGTAAGGCTAATGGCTCTGTAGACCGTTTCAAGGCTCGTCTAGTGGCCACAGGTTTTTTACAGGAACCTGGGCGAGATTATTCTGAGACCTTTAGTCAGTGGTTAAGCTGGTCACGATTCGTGTTATTTTAAGCATTGCTTTATCCCAAGGTTGGTCGCTGCGCCAGTTGGATGTAAATAATGCGTTTCTGAATGGCATGCTTCACGAGGAAGTTTACATGGCCCAACCGCCAGGCTTTGTTGATTTAGAGAATCTGGATCATGTGTGTCGATTGAGGAAGGCGATCTACAGGTTAAAACAAGCCCCCCGGACTTGGTATCTCGAGTTGTCCAGCTTTCTAGTCTCCGTTCATTTTAAGAAGTCTGTTGCAGATACTTCTTTATTTATTTATTTATTTATTTATTTATTGTAACAACAACATTTCCCTGTATTTCCTAGTATATGTTGACGATATAATTGTCACAGGGAATAATGAGGCCTTTACTGCGGCGTTTATTCGTCGTCTGGCAGAAAGTTTCTCTTTAAAGGATTTAGGGTCGTTGCATCATTTCTTAGGTGTAGAAGTGATCCCTATGGCTAGTTTTGTGTTTCTTTCCCAGAGTCAGTATGTGGCTGACATTTTGGATCAGTTTAGTACGACGGGGGCGAAGCCAGTTTCCACTCCGATGTGTACATCGGTGGATTTGGGTTCTGACAGTACGCCGTTTGACTCTACAACTTATCGCCATGCCATTGGTCGCTTGCAGTATCTGTCCATCACCAGACCGGATATCTCGTTTGCGGTAAATCTCCTGGCACAGTCTATGGCATCACCGACTGAGGCTCACTGGCAACCTGTGAAGAAGGTCCTGCGTTACTTGAAAGGTACGTTGCTCTTTGACCTTCACTTTCGGCATGGGAGTCTGCTTTCCCTTGTGGCTTATTCGAACTCTGACTAGGGCGGTGTCCGTGACGGGGGGCGGTCTACCACAACCTACTGTGTGTTCTTTGGCCCTAACATTTTTCCTAGAAGTCTGTGAAACAATAGTTAGTTTCCCGGTCCTCCACTGAAGCCGAGTTCCGTGTGCTTGCCAATTCCGCTTTTGAGGTTATGTGGGTGCAGAATCTATTACGTGAGCTTGGGATTCGTCTTTGTTCTACACCGTGGCTTATCACTGACAACTTGAGTTCTTCGTATGTCTGCAAAAATCCAGTTTTTCACTCCCGTATGAAGCACCTTGCCCTTGACTATTTCTTCGTCCGTGAGCAAATTACTTCTGGCACTTTGCGTGTTGGTTATGTTCGCTCGGTTGAGCAGGTTGCGGATCTTTTGACTAAACCACTGAGTTACCGCTTATTAGAAGTATTTCGGTCCAAGCTTGGGCTCACTGACGGCGCCTCAATCTTGCTGTAGTGTGTTAAGAATTAGTTTTGTTAGCTTTTATTCATTTTTATTTATATTTGTTTGTTTTTACTTTTTGCCAAGTCTTGGGGAAACAGGTGTAACTGTTCCTCTTTTTGTGGCGTTGTATGCTATTTAAAGCTTTGTGTAAACTTTGAATAAACTCACAACTTCAGATTCTCACATTGTTCATGTCTCTCTATTGTATATCCTTTCTTAGGAATTTGTATTATAGGCATACTAGAATTCATTCTCCCTCTTCCTTTATTAGTAGAAATATTATCATTTATCATTCTGACTATGACTCTTTGTATCTTTATAAAGAGTCTCTTCATGTATACGGTACAATTTTAGGGTATTCAATAGCAATTTATTTTTCCAAAATTATTATTCTCCTCAGATTTATTGTTCTCATATGGTATAACAAACCTAAAAGATCCATGGCTGCCAACCAATAGACCACCGCCGCCGCTGCCATTGGAGACACCATGCCGCCACCATCAACCAGTGATAGTCCTCCTCTCATACCCTCTCAAATATATCCTCCACCCCTCCACCCCTCCACCACCAATAAATACCCTCCAAACAATCCATCACTTTATATCCATTAAACTTACCTCTTCCAATCATTTATTCTGGAAAACTCAACTTGTTCCTTTTCTTTGTGGACAGAATCTCAGTGGTTACGTTAATGACACACTCCTATGTCTAGCTTCCTTTGTTCATGTTCTAGATGGATCTTCTGCAGTAGCCAATCCTGTGGCTCAAAATTGGGTTCGTTAGGATTCCTCTATTTTATCCATGTTCATATCGTATTTATTCGATGAGGCTTTGTATGTTGTTGTGAGACATACCACGTCCCGAGTGTTGTAGCTAGTTATTGAAGCTGCTTTTAGGTCTTCTTGGGCACGTTCTGTGAATCTCCTTAGTCAGCTGCAGCCTTTGCGCTAGGGAGACTCTATGACGTGTGAGTATCTTGGAAAAGTCAAGGTTTTAATTGGACTACATGCTGAAGCTGGCTGGCAAATTGGATTAGATAAACGGAATCTCTATCTGTTCAAGGGCCTCCATCTTGAGTTTCACGTAATGGTTTCCTCATTAACCACCAAAGAACCTATCACCATTGATCAACTCAATGACTACCTAATTGGACATCAATTTATTTATGCAGATGCTGTTTCTCTGGCTACTCCAGCCCCGCCATCAACATTTGTTGCACAAGGCCAAACACTACAAATCCGCAGCAACAACCTTTTACACAACCCTGTGGCCATGGTCGTGGACGCGGTCGTGGTTATGTTCCAAAGTGTCATATCTTCAACAAACTTAGTCATACAGCTCTACAGTATGTGTTACCGGAGATACTCAGATTCTCCTATTCCTCATGCAAATCTAACCTATGCAGGTGATCTGACCATTGCTTCATTTTCTCAAAATTGTCTTCCTGCTACTGGGGTTACACATCATGCCACTCTAGACTCCTCTTCTTTGCAGCAAGTAGAAATCTATATGGGAAATAACACTCTTCAAGTTGATAATGGTACATGTTTGAATATTTCTAATATTGGAAACACTGTTATATCTTCTACCTCGTGTTCCCTTCAGTTACAGAATGTTTTAGATGTTCTCCATCTCACCAATTTTCTCTTGTCTCTCAAACAGTTT